GCTAAAACGCATTTTCTCGGTAGCAGTGGGCCACCTCTTCTAGTCAGCATGATGTCGACCAGATGAAATCCTAGATCGACGGTTACCATAACGACCAACGGTTCTCCCTTTATTATTTTTCTACCCCAACGTCGCTGCGACCCCATGTCCCTCCGTTCCATGCGATTACAGGCCGAAGTTCCGATCCCATTCAAAATCCCCAATGCGGCGTTCTGTCTTTCATTTTTTTTGATCGCTTTCCCTCCAGAGGCAGACTTTGTTTCCAACGATTCCTGGCCTGGTAATAATATTTCAATTCACATTCGAGACCGATTACGAGCCTCCCTACCGAATTACAGATTAGGGGCGAGACGAGCTCAACAGCAATTGCTGAAGAATAATCAAGTTCAATGGGAAATCTGTCGATTTTACCAGTTCATTTAAACGTTTCCTAATTCAGTTTAAACGTGGACAGATGATGTTCTTGGCTAAATATAATACGTTACAATAAATAATAAATACTTTGATTGTGATCAGACTTTGGATTTGATGCGTTCATACATATAGAAGACTGAATATGCGTAATACATGAAGTGTATGCAGTGTAAGAAAATATACGGAATATCAAACGCCGAGTTCAAATTGCAATTAAATTGCATCCTTTAATTACGTCCTTCACTTTTTTCTTCAGGACTAATACTTTTTCTGGGACACCCTATACATACATTCATTATGGGAAGAATCATAATTGCGTGAATCGACGTTGTTAAAATTTTCACCGAAGGAATGCGATCGATCATGATGATTAACAAATTCATTGTTGTTCAATTCGTAGAAGCTTATAAATAAAAAATTCATGACTAAGATCAACCATCATCCAGGAGTATATGACTAACAATGCACATCGCATTTCATTGCACCTGCGTTTATTTTTTCAATGAACGCTCTACCTATCAGGAGGTAATTGTCGTCTTTAGATCAATTTACGGCATGGATTTCTTCCAACTCATTGTGCAAAAAAGAATAAATGTTCCTACTGGTTGCAATCCATAATTGGATTCGGAGTTAATGATGTAACACGATGAATGAATCAGAGGATATTGTGCGTTCACGGACGATGCGCCAGTTCAATTATCGAACTTCGCACTCACATTCGTATAACGAGCACCATACACGAACAATGCACTTACTGATCATTGCACTTTACTACTATAAGTAGACTGTGGATCGTTGTAGAAAATTTGTATTTATTGTATATATAATCTCTAAAAGTACATAAAACAATTAATGTAGACTTCCATTTAAAAATTTGGAGCACTGGCTACTTCTTGACCGCGAATGATTTCACACATATGCAGATATTTTTCTGAAAATGTGGTACTTACATATTATTATTATACTATATTAACATGTTTTATGGTTCAATTTAAAAGTAGAGGTTGTTTAGAGTAGAGATTGTTTTTAAATTATTAACGAAAAACACTGATCAATCAGAGCACGTGTAGGGCCCGCGACCAGCCACTGGACTATTGGCTCGGATCGCAACGCTCGGCCGTGGAACAGCGCGGGGATCCTACGCGTGCTCTCATTGTTTTTCTCAGTGTTTTTCTTTAATAACTCAATAACCATGCCTCATGTTACATTTTACCAAAAAAAATGATTGTTCAAAAACACCTACAGAATCACTCATTTTCGGCTCTAACACTTTTTGGTCTAATAAGTAATAATTAATAAAAGAACGTTCAATATGTTACTGCGATAATAAAATTTCCAATATATTACCAGAGAGAAAGTCTTCTCTCTGATATTACTGTATTGATAAAAATCATTTTGTGATACTGAAAACCGTTCGAATATATGATCTCACGATTACCTTCTAGGTATCTACTTCTATAACTATTCAAAATGTCATCTAGGCATGATAAGAATTAATGTAAATTCTGTACTAATACAAGTCTGGTTAAAAAATCTTTTCTAAAACCCTGGGAAACAGTTTTTGGTCGAACGATAAGGCGACAGATGAAGACAACGTTCAACATATTACGGCAACAATAATCCAATATATTACTGCATCATTACTAAAAATCTTTCGCCTATATGATCTCATGATTATTTTTAGTACTACCTCCGCCTTCAAGGAACAAAGGAATTGTTCCACGTTACATAAAAAGAAAACAGTTTCTACGTAACGCTTTCTTCTATTCAGACGACTCGCTGCAAATTGCTGGCCGTTAACCATGAGAAATTTTCGTCGCTGACGTAGATTACGATCGTAGACGATTAAGTCATGGTTTACAATCAATGAGCAGGCGATCGACGGGTCGAAATCGGATCGGATCGATCACCGATTTTCATCGTGATGATTCACAGTTACGTAAAATGAAAATTGTTCACGTAATCGGTCGTTTCGTCGACACGCAATCAGTAAAGATAATGGATTTCCACGATGGGAAATCTTCTGTCCAGGTCGACGACAACCGAGCGTCTCCTCCTACGCGACACACTTTCGATCCTCTTATTATGTATTAATTTTAATAAACGACGTTTCATCAGGCTTGGCTGATGCAACGATCAACCGTACGATAATAAAAATGAAAGTTGCTTACTCTGATCAACTCAACAATTTTGTTTCTTCGCATTAGGATTTATACTTGTCGTGCTCATTGAGAGACTAAGGTAATTACGTGACTTTTCCAACATTTGTCGGTAAAATCTTGACGTTTTTTGCTGTATTTTATCGATAATCAGACAACAATGGTGCAAAACGAGGATTTACATGACTACACTTTTCGTCCTTCTATAAGAAGATTTTTTGCTAATTTTGTGGGTGAGTCTACACCCTTCAAGGGAGTGACTGTATACCTCCATAAAAAATTAAAATCGTCTGGTCCAATTGTAAAAAACTATTCTGTTTTAGATGGTATTCACTTAATATTATCCCAGACTGGATGTCCACGTCACAATTTTTACTCACTGCCATTTTTTCTACAATTTTATATGCAATCAGAAATTGTGACATAAACAGAACTTTGGATATTAATTATACTACATTTTCATTATATTGCAACGAGCAAATAAACCTCTTTACAAATATGTACATCTGCACGTTCGTTGGGACGGTTCTGATGCATTAGAACTCAGGAGACGTCTGAGAGAGGAATGAGAAAGGTTTCTTCCTACTTTACGCAGCGTAGCGTTGTTTCATGTCGTAAATGTTATAAAGGAAGCAATTTTTTTCACTTTACCAAGTCTTGTCACACACGACAATAGTATTCTTTGGAACAATCTTTCCGTGCGAGTTAATTTATATGACACGCGTATTTTGAAGATGACAAAAGAATTAAAAGCGCAAACGCGATAAAATATACAGAATGGATCAGCAGATTATTTTCTGCATGAAATGAAGTTGACGGACGATGAAACACAAAGGAAGTTACGCAATAAATCGTGTGCATCGTTCAGCTATGACGCGAGCTATTACGATCAAGAAACGGACGGTTTCTTTTAAAAAAACCTGAACCGCTTATTCCTTCAAGGTCCCTCGGTCACCTTGGTGTTCGCACCTTTTTCCTACGCTAGAAAAATTGTTCCAACGGACGCGTCGCGAAGGAGCAACACGTTCCATTCGACTGTTGCGCAAAAGTAGCTACCTAGCTATTTCCTTATATGACCAACGACGCCCGCTGCAACGAAAATATAGAGCGCGACCTTCTTCAAAGTGGGCTCACGTAGACCAAGGCCTATGAGTAAACTGCAGATCTTCTATATTTATAAGGAAATTCAATATAAGGAAAATATGAAACTGCATATATAAACATATACAGAATGCATATGTTATGATATTTAGATGATAAGATAAATGTTTATTTAAAGCAATTTTTTTAAGATTATTATCATAAATATTTTATTTTGCATAACAAGAAATGAATTATTGAATATGAGACTATTTCTATTCACTCTTGCTTCGAGTTCCTCAAAGGATTCGTACGGAGGACTTGTAAGGATAATTTTATTTGGGGAGGTGCTACCTCTGGCAAGATATTTTCGATTAATGCAGTAGTATCATATTCGACAAGAACAGTTATGAATGAAAAACAATTGTTTTATACATTTTATTGCATGTCCATTTGAATTCTGAAAATTTTATATGTGATGAATATACGTACCACTATCAGAATTGAATAATTTTTTAAATATTGGACCAAATCACTTAATATTCTTTTGGATGTTAGAGTTTTTCGATACCCAATCTAGTCTTATCAGGAATGCAAACGAAACATTTTCAGCTTCACGTTTTATCAAATAAGGGCCGATATCAACAATGTTCTATTTCTATCATTATTTGCACTTTTCAGGGACTATTGTAATCAAAATGAAAATAATGCATGCGTATATAGATATTTGATAATAATAAAAGTTTTACTCTTACAAGTGATTTGTTTCTAATGATAATATAGAACTCTGAAGCAACGTTGTAGTTGCAGGTATTTAATTTTGAAAATCTTCGATTTTCTAGCTATAGACTAAATGTCAGAATATTCGAGTGTATGAAATCCAACAATAATTGAAAATCGTTGTCAAAGGAAATTGCGGTTGAGGTCTTGGTGCGTAATGAGTTAATGTACCACGATTAGTCTTGCACGTTTCCGGATGTGGACAACGCATTGTCCTTAGCCGTTCCGGTGCGTGTTCGGATTGCAACACGATCGCCGTACCGGAATTAGGTCGCCTATTTAAATTGTCAAGATCAACAATTTGACTTTCTGTTTCTCTTGGAAGGTAAACTGGTGCATTCTCAGTCGAACATACTAAATAATAAAGCGCATAAGCTAATATATCAGCCCCATAATCTTTGCAGGGAAATGTAAAATGAAATGTATCTAACACTTCATCAATAGTTAGATCAAATACCCCACAGTTATTTGCATATTTTGCAAAACACATTTATCACCTATCAGTGTCATACATTCATGTACAGTCTTCGTGCAAGGTAAAGGGATTATATCAATGTCTCTTAAAAATTAGTAATAATAATACTTTATTCACAGGCAGATGCCTATTATAACATACAATAGAATAAAACTAAAATAATATTCATTTATATTCATTAACATGCAAAGCATAAACTCATCGGTATATCTATGGCTCCTTCGATCTCTTTTTTGCAGCATTTATTATTTCCTTGATAACAATCTTCATATTGTCGGGGACACTTTCCAAACTGTTGTCAGTAGATATTCCACCTTGTCTGTTACCGATCCGCAATAGCGTCTGTCAGTAATGAGAGTTTGAATTTTAAACGTCTCCTGTGCTCTTGTTGCCTTTTTATTTTATTCCTCAGTGCTTTAATTTTACATTGTTCAGTGGCATTTTTAGATGAACTGACACGAATAACCTCTTTTTTTTGTTTTGATTGTTTTAAACTTCTAGCTATTGAAGTTGAATATACTTTGCACGAACGGCATTTTTCACAATTGTATGACAAAAGGGAGCAATCTTTATGACGTATATCCATGCCAGTTACTGTTCTCGATACTGATGTTTGAAAAAAATTCGGAATTGTATCTGGAACACCTTTACAAATCTTGAAGTCTTTAAATTTTTTCAAGATTTCTGGCAATATTTTAAAATCATTCAGAATTTTAGGAAGTTTTGATTCCGATACGTTAACTTTTCTTGAAAATACTTCGTATATAATTTCTCTTGATGATTTTATTAAAACAGATTTTTCAAAAATGTGCGTTTGGATTCCACTATCTGTACTTTCTACAACGTACGTAAAAATGAGAACTTCTTCTTTTCCGATTACAGATTTTTGAAGACCCCATGGTTTAGGTAGTTTTATCTCAACGTCATTTTCGACAGTATTATTACCTAATATGGAAAAAAAATGGAAAAAGAGTTGTAATTAGTTATGTTTTAACATTAATTTTAGTATAAAGGTATTTGGAATAGCAATTAGGGTAAACTAGTAATACTGTATTTACCTGAGCATTTTAGTAACTTACACGGAGTAGAAAAATTGAAGGTGACATTGATACAAAATTGAGTTGAATTTATCCTAATTCCATTTACTGCATTATTATGCGTTTGTACAGGTTTCTCACATGTTACATTGTCTCTTCTTTCTTCAGACTTTGAAACTATAAAAAAGAAAAAGATTAATATAAATTAATTGTTCAGTAATTATCATCATCAATATATAACATAAACTTACTTTTTATTTTGATATACAAATGTGCAATTATATGTTTTCGCATGTATTTAATTTTCTAACTTTAAAATTTTTAACAAAGTTACACAAATTTTTTAATTTACTTTGAGTATTATAGGTAAATTATTATTATTGGTTTAAAAATGATATGTAAAAAATATATTGTTATACATACTGGAGTCATCGACAACCCTACTGCACTCAATTTTATTTGTAGTCAGAGGACAACTAGAATCCACGTCAATAGCATAGTTGAAATTATTTTCGGCTTCGACTTTACAAATGTCTTGAGGGTTTTCTTCAAGTACCCCCTTTTTTTCTGTTGTTGAATTAAAATTAATAACATTAAAAATAAACCTTTTTTTCAATAAATACTTTACAGGCATTGTATTTTATTACTACTCACGAGCTGCATCTTTGTCACAGTCTGTCGTCTCTGTTTTAATAGACGAAATCACATTACAGGACGTTTCCTCTTGCATTCTACTGTCAATATCGTCCTTTGATCTTTCTGCTGCTATTAGAAATAAAAAAAAATAATAATTAATAATTATAAACTTTTCTATGGACGTATAAATATATTTTACTGATATACAATATTTAACAATGTAATTTGCGAGATATACATACATTTTGCAACACTGATGTCAAATCGATCGACATTTTGTAAACATTCAGATATTCTTTTTGTTGCGTAACAATGATCTAACATTATATCATTGATACATTTCTGAAACTTGGGAGGACTTCTCTCTCTCAACAAATCGTTCCTTTTAAATATTGCTGGAACAGCTCCTGCTTTTAAATGATGGTGTTTTAGTGGAACCTATAATGTAGTAATAAATTTATTTATATTTGTTTAATATAATTTAAAGAGAATAATGTCTTCACCTGTGCTATAATATGTCCATCCTTAGTTCTATGAATATAATCTTTAATAACTAAATGTTCTTCAAAGTGCAATTCACAGACTCTGTGCGATGAGCGCAGAATATTGACTCCAATCGCCACTCTCCACTTTTCACGCAGATCTTGATCATTAGGCACCTTGAATGTTGAAATTTTATCACTTTGTTTGTCATTATTTGAAACGCACTTCTTTACGACACACCACGGCATGTTTATATGTACAAAAGAAAGTAATTTGAGAAGTGGTCGTAACGGAGAGCAAAAATTTTAGGATTTCATGGCAAAACTTGTTTATCTCTGTGCCAAGCTTTACTCGATCGCAACGCACCCACAGTTTTGGGTATACACTATACATGGTGGTACAGTCTACACTGTCTACAGTCAAGTACAGTAGTACACTGTAGTATGCTGTAGTACATGAGAATACTGTCAACAGTGTGTTAGGCGTTAGGTTAGGCTTGAATAAATTGTTACTGCGTTTCAAAATTCAGTCGTGATTATTACACTTCAATCCCCGGTATTATACAGTCCCTCGTTCGTTATCAAATTCACGCGTTAAGATGCTGCGAACCGGTCTAAGATCCGTGCGCAGTGCACTCGGCAGCAGGGCATTTGCGAATGCCCCGGCTCAGGAGCAAGCTATTTCTACCGCTTTTAAAGTTCAGGATCCAAAAGATTTTAATGATCGCGTGAAAAACTCTAAAGTACCTGTGATCATCGACTTTTTCGCAACGTAAGTAAAACCTTAATGCACGAGACGTTTATTGTAGGAAAATACTATATGCAATTCGCATTACAGATGGTGCAATCCTTGCCGAATGCTGACTCCTCGCATAGAGTCAGTGATTGCAGAAAAACAGGGAAAAGTTTTACTGGCTAAGGTTGACATAGATGAAAACAGTGACCTGGCTTTGGACTACGAGGTTTGTTTCCAGTTTTCTATCCACCTATTTCTCGATTTTCTATCATAATTTCATGTAGTAAAGGTTGTTTGTCTATTTTCAGGTTGGATCTGTACCAGTACTCATTGCAATGAAAGATGGAAAGGTCTTGGACAGAATCGTCGGTCTTCAAGATGTAGATAAACTTAAACAGTTTGTAGATAAGTATACAGAATAATGTAGTCAATGTATTTTAAGATTGTTATTTATCCCGTAGCTAATGGGGTAACTGTATAACATTGTGTATAAATGTATAACAAAACATAGTATTTATATCTATATATCCCAGATATAAATATTTAGAGAGGGAAGATTAAATTGTTTTATAATAAACAGATAAATTTAATTATTCAAATATATACAAAGGTTTAATATAAATACTCTTTATGAACATACATGAACGTCAAAACATTGATAGATAATGTATAAAAAAGAAAAGTTCAATTTGAATAAAAGACATCTAGTAGTTGGCTAAGTATCAATAGGCAAAGCTTGTAGAAGTTTCCTTGCCCTCTGATAAGCAACTGACTCCAGTTCTTCTTTATTTTCGACGTTTTCTTCTATTTTCTTTATAGCGTCCATTCCCTTCTTTAACAACAGTTCCCTTGCCATTCCTTTGCATCCTTCGAAATATTCTAAAACTGTTGGAAAAATGTCATCTGGTATTGAAGTTTCGTCAAGCAGATTATCGATCAACCAGATTTGTCTCAACTTCTCGAATTTCCATTCACTGCGCGCGTATTTCCACTGCAAATAAAAATTACATTTTCTTCAGTACCTTTATTAAAAGTTCGAAGTATCTTTTTACTGGGTCACTGCAAAAATTCATGTCTGATTTCAAATAAGATATTATTTCGTTCACACATTATTAAATGATAATGTGTGCAAGGAATGTCTTGCTTTCTTTGCCTAACTTTCGAAATACGACAGACAAATAACAGTCAATATATCCATCACAGTCAGCTGGGTGATAAGCCCATTGAAAACTTTGTGTCACCTGAATTTGGGTGACATGACAGTCTAAGTGTTAATACGATATCTACTAATCGTTAAATTTTAATACTTCGTCTTTGTTTTTATTTGCGGGGTCATACAACCTTACAGGTTCGAAGCATCATTGTACTAAAAATTCAAAGTATCTATTACCGTAGAGACATAATTAAGTCCTTTCTTCATTGCGTCTATCTTAATAGCCATCCTTTTTTCATTTTCCTTTCTCTCAGCCCTCTCTTTCTTTAACTGTCTCTTAGAAGGCTGCTTCGGAGATTTTGTATTATTCTTTCCATTCTCGTCGAAATCATTCTCTGTATCTATACTGCAAGAAGTACTTAAAATCAGGTATTCAAAAGGTTTCGTAAATGACAGTTATATATCGGTTCTGCCTGAAATTACATCGGTTTCATATTATTTTTCGATCTCATATTTCGGTTCTTCATCCCAATTGTAGTTATTTTAAGTAATAAGCACGTATTTTCTTTAGCAATCGAAAACTATCTAATCCCACATAGGTGTTAACATNAACATCTGCTACATAAAAATGAAAAATTCTAGATATAATCTTAAATCTACTGACAATTTTTGTACACTAATGTGCTATATTTATATCTTGTACATTAGAGTGCAATTTAGTATCGGCAGTTTAAATAATAATTACAAATTTAGTAACATGGCCAAACAAATTTCATGTTCCTTTTAATTCTTATAGAAGAATCTAGAAATGATCCTTTGATCAGTGCGTGGTAAGTTTAAAAAGCTGATATAAGCTACATACTAGATATCAGTAGAACCAGAACCGATATGATAACTGTTTTCAACCCATGCTTAAAATGTTTAAATTATCAATTCTATCAATGAACTGTTTTATGTACGTTTTCTTCTTCGGTGGTGATGCCTCATTATCCGATTTCTCTTCATTTATAGCCTCAGCCCCAGCAGAATCATTTTCTTTGCTATCTTGAATCACTTCTTTAGAATTATGGTCAGTGTTTGATTCTTTCTTTTCCTTCCGTTTTTTATGTTTCATGCTTACTTCTTCTACATTATTAGTATCATTTTCTAAACTATCGTTATTTGCATTGCTCGTAATACCTAGAAAAGATCGAGTCGCAGTTTAAACAGAAAAGAAATTATCAAAAGCAATTAAAGAGTATTTAATCACCTTTTGATCCTTCCTTTTTTTTCGTTCGTTTCCGCGACTTTGAATTTTTAACCTCTACCTGGGACGTGCCCTCAGAACCCATTGTTTTCTACAAATCAATTTTATATTTCGCGCATGAATACGTTATCTAATTTCTGATAATCTAACGTTTGATCTACTGGCGACGTCTCCGCGGTCGATGTCTATTCAAAACTAAATGTTAAACGTAGAAAAATATCCACCTTTCGACTTGTAAGGTCGAACATGTGGACGCACGGCTGTTTCTAAACACCTCCGACCCTAAATATTGAATTTCGAACACTACAAAAGCATCGAATGTAAGACTGCCAACGTATATAATAACCGATGATTACTTTTTACAAGGGTGAACGTGAAAGGAGAGCCGGTGCAAGATATTTAATAACGTCTGTACATATATTTGTATAAAAATTCGACGCAAATTATATGTAAAACTCGGAAGTGAAACTTGTGCGGTTTTCTCATTTCGTTCAATATGATTCGCATAAAATTAGTTAAAAATATGCTACAAATTAAAAACAAGAAAATACTGTTACAGAAAAGGTAAGGTCTAACAATTTTTCGTTAGACTAATTTCGAAAATTGTATAAAGGAGGTTAGGGAAATAAATAATATTTTATTTCAGGTGTGCTCTTCCCCAGATTTTATCGACTGCGAAGTACAGCGCCTCGAAGAAAGATAAAATTGATGAGGAATTTGATAAGCCAATAAAATTTTCAACATCTAAGGCAGCAACGTTTCCTGCTGCTTATACGAATGTAGGCCCTGACGAGCCTTGGTACCAAGCACCAGTTATAGGTATAAGCCTGATGATATTTATGATATACTTCTGTATACTAAGGGAAGAGAATGATATTGATGAGAAAATGGTAGAAGGTATACCACCAGAGATTCTGGAGCAAATCTATGGAAAACCAAAACCAAAGAAATGAGGTGGAGACACTTTAAAATCTGCAGTTTATTTAGTACATGTACAGAGAGACCTTCGTTAACCGATGGAGAATTATGAATAAATATTAGAGGGGATATAGCAATTCACCCCATATTATGTTATTTATTATCTTGCTCCATTCTATGGATGGATGATGTGTTATTGTGTCTGGTATACATTTGTTCCACGTGTGGTTCCATGATGCTACAACTATTGTCATCACTAATATTATGGGTCCCTCTGTCCTATGCACTTTAATATTAACGACACCTGAGACATAAGGATTGCATAATTTGTGAATAAAGTACAATGATATGATCAGAGCACAAAGTGTTTCACTTACTACGTGTACTGTGAGAGTGAAGCAGCCATTTGAAAAATGTATAGACAGGCATAACTTGCAGGTAAAACTTCATTCTTGTTAACAGACCTCCGAAACTAATCAATGCTAGTCTGAACTGAGAAAGAAAAAACGTTGAAATGATTTCTGAGTAAGATACAAGCTTACAAGTTAATATAAATCATTTTTATTAGGTCATTGCAAAATTTTGTGTCTGATTTTTAGAGGCGAGTTAGATTTCATCGTACTTCGGTAATTTAATATTCTTTGGAACGTTAGAAAGCTTAGTTTACTATATAAAACATAACAAAAAGTTAAAGAAATTGTTATTCATCGAAATCTCGAATAAAAAAGTTTAAGGACATGATTTTTAACTTTTTCATTCAGTCTCTAATAAAAATTAGAAACGTCCCATTTGTAAAAGCATATGAATTTCATAATAATCGGTTGATATAACAGGTTTGTACGATTTTCACCAGATCGAGAAGAGATTTAATTGTTAATTTCGATCTGGCCGATTTTCCAGTTTCTCCAAAAAATGAATGAATTGTAAAAAAGAATGATGGAAAACTGTGGGATGGCTCCATAAAAAAGTGAATAATAATAATAATAATAATAATATGAATTAAATCTAATTTAAAATCAGACAAGAACTTTGCACTGACTCAATGATATACCGTAGTAAAAACTGCATAATAAGCCCAAGTCGTTGGCATAAGGAATAACAAAATAGTAAACAGCAAAGTTCCCACAAACAGTTGATCCGGTTGATACAGACAAGAATCAACTCTTTTCCTTAGCGGATTCTTTTTCTTGCCCAAAAATAATCGAAACAAAGCAGTGATACCCTTCAGTTGTATATTAAACAGCCTAGTAAAATAATTGAATTAATATATCGATTTTCATCACTAAACAGCGGATCTAATGCATTCATAGAAAAATTGTATTGGCAGAAATATAAATAATGCTCATGTTAACAGATTTACGAAATATTAAAAATGAGTCTGTTACAATGTTTACGTGATAAAAGAAATATCTATTTAGAATGCATTTTTCAACCGATACCATTAACCGTTTAAGTCCCAATCAGAAATCTCAGGATATTTGAACGCTATGAACAATTGATTAGCATTTTTCAACACGTAAAAAGACAAGCATCATCGTGACTCTTGACTTTCTTTATTAAGATAAGCGCTATTACGTTGGTCGGCAATTGTCGACAATGTTTTCCAATGACTCGCCCTGAGATTAAAACGGTTAATGTTCTATTTTAGACGAAAATCCGAAATCTATTCATCGTGTAAAAAATTTTACCTTGCTGCATAGACATAAATGCAGTAAGCGTGAAAACTGACAAGCGCCAGCAGATCAGCCGCAATCGCTATTTGAAACGTAATGCCAAGCTTTCCAAACAATACCAATACTTCAAATGCAAAGTCCATTAAAGGTCTCATGAATATTAAAAAGGTCCACCACATTTGTATATGGTAAAGAAAAAATTTCCCAAGCATGTTGTTCAATGCTAGATTCAATTTTAATCCAGCTGGTACTCCCATCAACCAATTTATTAAATCCTTTAAACATGTGACTACCTTCTGCAAAAATATTTGTACAATATAATATATGAATTACGTTTAATCCCTAAACTGTGGATTTTATGCGTTTTTAAGAAAACTAAATCTACAAAGAGTGCAATGAAATCATGCCATATTGATAACTTATAGTTGAGGAATACCACAGGACTTTCATGACATTGGTTGCAAACTAATTTAGATAGAACTCTTTTCATTTGGTCATTGCAATATGCACTCTTAATCTCCAATATGCATACTTGCCTCTGCATTATGTAAAAGTATTTGGGACGGAGAACATTGAATGTGATGCAGTAAAAATTGCAGTATAAATATGCCCAGTAACATGTCTATTATCAACGCAAAGGCATAGTTGCCAGTCTTCAATGTAAATCTTTTATTTCTTATTACAGTGATTAACATCCATTTAATATTTTCCAACCATCCATTAACATGTACGCCCAGAAAAGAATATTTTAATATTGGTAACAATTTGCTTGTTATTTTGCTAAGAAGAAGAACTGGATAGAAGTATAATAGCATATGATATACTAGCAGAGTCTCTTTTATATAGCTAAATTTTCCTTTTTTCTGTATTTCTCTCTGAACTTGTTTGTCTTGTACAATTTTCATCAATTCGTGAAAATGATCTCCGAATGCAGCTTTCTGTGGGAATAATTCTGTTTCTCTGAGAGCTGATTGATCGTATATTGTCATGACTGTATGACATTGTAAACTAGATATTTTTTTATTATTCACGATAATTCCTTTTAAATTGTAATCGTAAATATTATTTGTGGAATTCAAGCGTACGTTGATCCAGTCTGAATATTTTTTATCTACGTATCCACGTTTCGGTTCAGTATTGGAGTAATATCCGATTATATTGGCGCATTTTATGATGTCCAAATTATCTACTTTACATACGCCAATAACATAAAATTTTTTTACTTCTGTATTTTCATCATATACAACTTTGCCAAACAGGTATCCAGGCTTCTCTTTGTAAAGCCTGTTTGGTAAGAAGATCAATAGGCTTTTCATTATAGATTTTCGTAATTCCTTTCATAAATTAGTAGACATGACATTTTGACATGTGTTATTGTATAATTGCATATTGCGTTTTGTTTGTATATAGCATATGACCGCATATGACGTATATATACCGATGTCCAGTACTTTCCAGTACTATGCCAGATTCCCAATTGTTTAAATTTCAATTTCCTTTTTCAATTAATTATTTATAGATATATGATAACAAATTTTTAACCACAATTTTATACTTTCTCTCGATCTCCTTTTCTTATATATGTATCATCGTGTATCATAGACAAGTATAGACAATACAATATCTTCCACATATGATACGTTTGCAAGAAAAGAAACTAACATGAGAAAAATTTGTCAGGTCGAGTTTTAGGTGGTGGGATACATACATTCCGGCCATCCACCAGACCTGACTAGACCTAATCTGACCTTATATACAGGATTGTGTTTATTAGATATCATTAGATAAGTATATCGTGCATTGTATATTGCTTTTCATTTGCTTATGATATATACATATGTCCAGTGATGCTCAGTACCACGACAGATTCCCATTATTTAAATCTCAATTTGCGAAGTTACTCCTAAAAGTTTATCGTGCACATAATATGACGATCATACAACACTTACACTGTTGTCGTACATATATCGATGTATTGCGATAAGCAAGTACCTTGCGGTATCTCAACGAACCACTCCTGTTTTCGACGATCCATGCGTGCAAGAAATTAAATGTTCCTCTTTCGCGTCTTGTATTGACGATATGTTGACAAGCGGTCAGCTGTTTCCGGTTTATAAAAATACAGGTGGTTCAATAGTGATCGACGAAAAACCCGGCTAATCGGGCTTTATTAAATAAGCGGCGGTTGTATCGGCAGTAACACCGGGATAAACACAACGAGCGTGTGATATGAGGCTCTAGCGTACGGCCGATTTCTCGTCCCTTGATTTCGTTTTTTGGTTCGATGGATAATGTTGAAAGAAGAGGTTGAAACGAGCACGCCGAGAAATGGTGATAACCCGCACGCGATTACACCAGACTCAGGAAGTAACGACGTGGCCAAGGAGTCGGATCAAAAGCTGGCGGTAGAGGAACGATTGGCCAACAAGATGTTCTCCTATGCAAGGAAAATCATACGATTTTTTCTTGCGATCATTTTCACCGCCCTAGCTGCCCTTCATAGTTCGTGAGTTTTAAATATCGATGATTTCTTGGTTACCCTTCCAATTACAAATAAATTTCAACCACCACATCACTTTTACCCTCGTGTGTAGTTGAATTATTTAGCTGCTCTTTTTTCAAATGTTGTATATAAATCTGATGGTATGAATCATCTCATTCAACTTGTATCACTTTCTTCATTTACAAATACCAATATGTTTAAAGAAAATGCGAAGTAAATCTTAACTTTGCATGAAACTGATTGCATACATGTTAACAGAACAGCCGTCAGAAAATGGCTTTAGCCCCTCAATTATTACTTTCGTTACAGATCTCCTAAAGTATCGAAGCCACCAATAGCAAAGCCATTTTTCAATCAAAGTTCGATGGTCTTAGATTTCTACAAAGGACATTTAGGTGCTATGGTCGAGAGAGTTACGGAAGCAGATTTCAGTTTTGTTATGTATTACGCCCCATGGGATGCGGAGAGTCAAAATATGCGGCTGGAATTTGAGAAAGTTGCTCAATATTATCATTCGCAAGTAATAAAATCATAGACATTTCCATATGTTTGATTTGATCAATTTTCATTGAATTGAAACATTTTTAGATCTTCTTTGCTGCCATAAACTGTTGGCATCCGAACTCAGAATGCAGAGCCCAATATAAAATACCGAGTTATCCAGTGTTGATGCTTTATCCATCAAAAAAGTCTGGCGTGGAGTATAGGGGGATACGTACTTGGCCATATATGATAAAATTCCTGAATACAGTTATGAATCCTATCGTTAGGATAACACATAAGGAACAGCTAATGAATTTACTTGTTAACTACGATGTAAGAACAGACAAATAAGCTGCATGGAGCTTATAGAGTAAATGTCCCAATTTCTGTTCACTTTACAATTTTTATTTATTAGCTTAATGTTGTATGAGCCGTAAGATCTCTGGCAAACATTTAAGAAATATGATAAAAAGCTATGTTCAATATTTTAAGTCATAAACTTTGAGAAAAAATGCTCATACCACCTTCAGATTATATATAAAAATGTAGAAAAAGAGCAGTGAGTAAAAATTGTGATGCAAAGAGAAATTGGGACATTCTCTGTAGTTATTAACAAAGAATTAATTATTACAGGCTGTGGTAGTAGGCTATTTTAATTTCACGCGATTAGATAGAACTCCGGGCTATAAGGAATTCCATAAAGCTGCAGTGAGAGCATTAGAAGAAGATCCTAACAGAGAAATGGTTTTCGCAATAGTCACTAGTGCATTATCCAGCAAAACGGACTACGATATTCATCAATTTCCATCGGCTCATTTGCTCACGCCTAGCGAGACCATAGTAAGTACATGGGAAACATTTGCAGAGTTCCAAATAAGTAGTCAACGGCTAATTTCTTCACCCATAGATATTCTCTAGTTAATGCTGAATGCGATATATATAGACTGTTTGAGTATTGATGAGAAAAATTTGAGGGATTGATGCTAAATGTCAAAACAAGGCAAAAGTCAGGGAAAAAAAATTGCATTCGAGGTCCTTTTTTTTACTTATAAGAGATTAAAAATTGAACTTGATCGTAGTGCTGTACAACACACATTTTTTTGCAACTACTAATTCTTATAGAGTTCCTCATGCCAAAAATAAATTCGAAAGAGATCTTCAATTGAACACCAATTGGCAATTAACATTTGGTTTTTGATCCGGATTTGACTAAGAATGAAAATTATTTAATTAGCTTAATTGGAAGCAATTGGAATTCATGATCAAATTTTGAAAGAATACTCTAATTGTTGATTAAAATTGAATGGTTGCGGCATTTAAATGCGGCAATTAAAAAATTTGAAACCCTGAAGTTTGTACTCGAGCAATAGTGAATATATTTGATATATAAAGCAGACAAAATTTATATATGTAGCACGATTAAATGAATGAAAATTGAAATGTGCAGAGGTATCCAGAAGGATCTGAATGGATTTCCGAAAACCTATTAAATTGGATTAGCAACTCGATGCATCCACCAGTATTGTGGCTGCAACCACCTGGGGTAAAATCGTTAACATTAGCACCGTATCTGAGGGACGGGCCTGTGCTTTTCCTTTTCACGCCTCGTAATCCTCTGCATTCGGAGAATTACAATTATAATTTGGTGAGTACTACATGTATATAAGTTTTACTTCAGTCTTATGACGCAGAAATGAACTGAGTTTATATTTGCACATATTTCCATACGCATTTCTCTATCCCACATACCTCACCATCGTTAACCCATTTGCATCATGACTCTACTTAAGTTTCTGTATTGCGCTGCCGTATATCGGCAGTTCTATTATTTTAAATAACTTACGAATAGTTCTTAGAGTTTATTTAACGTGGTATTTTTTAAAATGAACGATACATAATGCTACATCACAAACATCGCATTTAAAAACTGTTTCTCTTCGAACTAAAATAGATGAGCATATAACGTATCGCCTTGATTTTTGTTCCCTTTTAACTGTGCTTTAAGTATAACAAAATCACCTCTCTTAGTAATTAAGAAAGATATGATTTTCGCCATATTTCTCTATTCCTTATGGTTTCTTCTTCTTTGTCTTCCGCAATTTGGTATCTAGTATTACAAAAAATATCATGATACTACAGACATTTATAATATAATACTTCTATTTATATTACAGATGAGAGAAGTCGGATTAGAATATTATAATTGCGCGGACAATGCGTCGACTAAAGAGATAATTGAACGACTCAGTGTTAAACGACGCACGGCTATCCCGAGACATTCTGAACGAAACAAATCATGCACGAAGCTCTTGAAAGAGAATAAGAACGAGATAAGCGAATCGGAGATTAATATCTCTATGCAAAGGTGGATCAACGATAGCTGCTGTGCGAACATCGTGATGAACAAATGCTCCCTATGCAAAACAAACGCGGAGAGCGATTCTTCAATTTGTAAGCTTAATTCTAATAAACTCGATCGCGTCTGCAGCGGAGCGGATATCTTTAAAGTTTCTACCGTGGATTCTGTTCAGTACGAAAAATATGAACTCTGTTGCAATCGAGACGACGCGGCGGTAAAATATCAACACGGATTTAAGTCTAAGAGTCAAAAGTACAAAACGTCGATCCCTGCTGCGAATGAGGAGGACGCGAGGTCCGCGGATGCAGTGAAAAGGGGAAAGTTAAGATTAGATTGTAAGAAGTGGATGATTGGGAATAAGTATCACAAGCCTATATTCCCGCGTGATGATTCCGGACATCCGTTTACGAATATTACGAGATCGGTCTGCAAGGTTAATAAAACGCTGGCGCTAATAGCGATCGATAGTCTGCATTATTTTCACTTCGCAGAAGCTCTTGGTATAGACATATTAAAGAATAAGGACAAGACTGCCGTTGTTATATTAGACGTTGCAGTAAGTCTTTGTATCTTAGCATATATGGTAACTCCCATTAATACTTGGACATATTTCAGAACGGAAGATTATTCTATTTGAAGTGTGTCCGAATATTAATAGGAGTCACTATGCTTCTACATCTAATTATTTCACGGATTAATTAATTTTTTTTAGCGTGAGAGTCAATACGTCATGCAGGAAGATTTTAAGAGATATACACTTGTACAATTTATAAATAATTATACACTCGGTTTTCTACAACGCACTTTGCGTTCTAACAATTCAAGGCGTTTCGTTCAAAAGTTTAAAACTAAAGTCGATTGTAAGCCGAATAATGTACAAAGCGTCTGCATACCGGAATTAACTACTGAGACCTTCTTGGATATTATCTTGGATCCAACAAAGGTAAATTGGTAGAAAAAATGAACATGATAATAGTAAGTAATTAACAGATAATATATTAACTGTAACGATTGTCTTTTCAGGATGTGGTTGTGATGTACCACTCTCCTTATTGTGCATTTTGTAGCGCGATATTTTATGTATACTTAACAGTGGCTCATTATTTCCGCGAAATGGATCACCTCTCATTTGTAAGAGTAGACGGTGATAATAATGATTTACCATGGGAATATAATATGAATCGATTCCCATCTATTCTATTCCTCCCTGCCAAAAGGTAATTAGAGATTGAATTCTAATAATGATCGTGTTCTATAACAGTTCTCTTATCTTTATTGTTTCCAGCAAGGAGGATAGCACGGTGTATCCGTTTTCTCTGCCGGTCACCATACCGAATCTCGTCAATTTCATTTTAGCGAATTTAGACGGAGACTCGCATGTTGAAGCGCTTGTAAATATTTGTCAGTCCGGAGCTGGAGAGGCTCCGGACACGTGCATCGCACGAACCCGTTGGCTGTGTCTAGATATCATTAGACAATTGCTCCGAGATTATCGAAGGTTGATCAGGCATATTAGCCTGTTAGGTAGAACAAGTGCCAGCAATAGGAGGAAAATCATTTTATTAAAATTGGCGCATATTAAAGACGTACATTTAATACTCGGTTCCACTGTTGATCTCCGAGCGGATAAACAGAAAGTAAAACTTATCAGGAAGAAGTACAGGACATATTATAAGAACATTAGGACACTTGAATTAGATAGTAAATTGAATAGCACGCAGGATTATCTCGAGAAGAAACATGTTTCTGAGAGGAAAGTTAAAAGCGAATTGTGATATTGAGTTAATGATAGACTTGTTACGAATGATGTCAACTTACTCTCTTCTTTTTCAAGTTAATACCTCACAGAGCTTATTTTGCAAACGTAAAACGTGTGTCACATGCAAACGACTATTACAACTGATTTAAATATTTGCCTGTTTGTATATGTTAAGAAAGTTAATGATTTCAGTGTAAAACATTCCTTATCGAGCGATAAATTGAAAAGCATTTTTACAATGTATTTGTAATTATTTATTTGCACTTTTATAAGATTTTTCCAAGAAGAAAATGTTTCTGGCTACTGTGAGAGAGATACCAGCCACTGATAACACTAATTTGTTCCATGCATCATCAGGGAGTGTACGTGCATTAGAATTACTCATCTCTGATTAATATTCATGATGTTAGAAGAGAGTAATGAAATAGGTACTAACGCAAACGCGGAATAGCAAGGAATGACACAATGCAGTGAACTTTTATTTCTGGAGAACCTAAGATGAAGCAAGAATTTGATTCCTGATCTGATGTATGTTGTGTGATCCGAGTACGCAATTACTCAAATGCGTGATGCCTGTACATCTCTGTAAATATTGTTATACACAATAATAATAAAACTATATGTTGATATATTTGCCTTTGTAAATTATTACAACGAATTCGACGATTGGCTCGGGAAACATGTTAATTACATAATTGTCGGGATTATCGTTTGAGTCGTGCTTCTAAGAATCGTATAAATAGTTTTACACGTTCTAATTACGCGAGATCGGGCCGATAACGCGGTGTGTAAATTGTGTATCGGAAATCGGAGTCTGTGGACCGGCGTATATCGCGGCCTTATACGTAAGTACGGAGATCGGATTAAACGTGTGATAAAATAGCGTGGGCCGAAAGTGTCCGATGGGTCGCGTAATCTCGCGTTAGTCATTCCCCCCGTTCGTCTGATTTATTTATGGGTTGGGCTACTTACTCGGTGTAATGAAATTCCTAGTAAAATGACGCGTGATAAGAAACCTGTTTTACTTGTTGATCTTTGACCAAACCCCGTGACATTGAACCGATGCAATTGCCAATTAAATTTTTAATCGTTCTCACGAGCGAAATATAAACAACCGGACAGATGCTCGGTTACTTATCTTATTCTGAGGTATAATATAAAATGTTTTATTTGCCGAACGTTTTTCCGTGCTACAAGACTGATTGATCTTTGTAACAAATGCATTTGAAAGCAGTTTGCCGCTTCGGCTACACCCCTTCCCAGTTACCGCGATATTTTCAGCATCCTGAATTCATAATTCACAATACGAGGGTACAGTTATGTTTTAGAAGGCGCATAGAGACGAAGAAGTGTATCTGTTACGCGAATAAGTTAAATTTATAAAAGTGGAACGTGTATTAGTTGTCCAGATACTCTAAGGAATATTCGAAGAACTGAAGGAACAAATGATAAATGTAGTTCATTGATAAAATTTATTTCAATATACATAGGTACTCGCTTAAATACGACGTATTTTGTAGAATTGATTTAGAGAGAGTGTAATAGAAGAATCAAATGATCCAGGAAAAGAGATGAGTCCTAAACACGATTTTATAGATAGATTTGGACACCGTGTAAATCAGAAAATGGAGTATGAATGTAGCCGCGAATTCAAAATGGCTACTTGTAGAGGAAGCTCTTGCGCATGCATAGAAAACGCATAAACGTCTGAACATTTACAAACTTTATCAATTTTCATTCAATACAAATAATTGATAGATCCATTTAAAAAAATTCTCACTTCTGCTACTCGTATATAAGTACATCTCTGAATTTTTTCATCAATTTCCATTCACTAGAAGGAAACTAGGAGAAAAAAAATCGAAATTCAAGGGTTCGTATTCCTTCAATTCCTTCATATCTGAAAATTTTTGAACTTTATATATTTTTACTTAATACGAATAATCAACCTATCGATTTGAAAAAATTTTCACGTATGCTACTCGTATAGTACTACACCTCTGAACTTTTAAATTCATTTTCATCCACTAGAACCGGAGAAATTAAATAAAAAAGAAATCGGAAATCGTAATTCAAGATATACCCCTTCTTTAAATTTGCAAGGATTATGACTTATGGTAGTATTAATGAATTATGAATCTATGGCAGTGATACAAATTCATTATTCCAGAATTTAAAAATTTCATTAATTTTTATTTAACATATATTTTAGATAGAAAAATTTGACAAATATTCTCACACATACTACTGGTACAGTAGTGCGTCTCTGAAATTCTCCATTAATTTTGAGAAATTGTAGAATCGGAGAAATTAAATCCTAAATATATCGAAATTCGTATACCAAGTCTTGCGGTTCTATAATTCTTCTACGCATGTGTAGGAGCTTCCCACACAAGCCGCCGTGTTGAATTTGCAGTTCCATTCACGTTCCGTTTACCTAAGCCTGTCTTATAAGATCGTGATCCTGATAATGCGATAGCGAGAGCGAGACGATCGCAAGCGCCATCAAACGGTCAGGATCGTGAAACGTAGCTCGGAGAGGAAACGCTCGCGCCCGGTAGTGCGGTAGTTGTCTCCCATCTACGTAGAGTCACAGACGCATGACCGTGTGTACTGTGCCGCTGACAATGAGCCGCGGCGGTGACTGTGATAAGTGATCGCGTACCCTTCCTCGTCGCTAAACGCGTAGTGGCAGTGGAGAAAGATAGTACTTGGGCCGCGGGAAGAGTCTACCTCTTGATGACTCGCGCTTTACGCAAGGCGCAACGTAGCCGGAGCCCACAATTATGTTCGATGTACCGCCCAAGTTCTACGAGCTGTGTCGCCTTTGTTTATCGTCGGACGGTGTCAAATTGTCCATATTCGAGGAGGAGGGCGCCCAGCGAAACTTCGCCGATAAGATACTGACGTGCCTGTCGATTACGGTGAGTACCGTTTCGGAGTTTTCACCGGGTCCCTCGTGCCGAGGCGATGATAAATCAGACGCGACCATCTGTGGTACTCGCACTTAGAATCTCGTGTCTCCCTCTCTCTTTCTCTCTACCGTCTGCGCCTCCGCCGACTGTCTCTCTCTGTCTCCTCGTCTCGCTTTGCCTTCCGTCTCTATCCGGCTCCGTTTCCCATCTCCGTCGCGCTCCCTGCCTCTCAAGGGTGCGCGTTTGTGTGTGTGTATGCGCGTGCCACGGGAGAAAGTTTGGCAAGAGATGTGTCCGCGAGATAAGCCGACTCACGGGGGCATTTAAAATGGCAGTGATAAGCTGCGAGCCTCGATCGCGCGGATCTCGCGGAGAGGGGAGGTAGCTCCTTATTTAGACGGCCTGTTATCAGGTTTCACACGCGGATTCCACGAGTCGCTGTCACATTCGACTATACCCTCCGTATTTCTCTCCTATTTTCTCTCTCTCTTCCTTCTCTCCCTTCTCTAACTCAAAGAAACCGCTTCCGTCCAACCTACTTAAAAAAAAACATTCATTTCGTTGCTCCTTATTTCCGAATCCAGGGATGAGGACGAATTTTCCGTGTCCATATTTTGCTCGTCCGAAACGGTAGAAATTCAATCCGCATCCGCTTTAGCACGCGATTGATAAGGAAATGTAATTCAACTTGTAAGGATATCATGTGCACAGATTATATTTCACGCAGTTGTCATATTATCTCTGAATATAAAATTTTATTAAATACAATCGAAATGGATTGTTATCCTGTATCTGGAGAAGATGATACCGGAGCCGATCGGAGAGACAATGATGCAACTGTGTTCTTATCCAGGTGAAAGATGGAGATTCGTTGCCACCAATCATTTGTCACCGGTGCGTATACAAGTTGGATGTGCTGCACAACTTCCGTGAAGTGTCACACAAATCTGATGTCATACTCAAACAGTACCTGGATTATGCCAAGCAGTTATCATCGCACGATGATCAGGTACTCATTGAATTCCCTCGTTCTTCACCTATGCACCAAATGAATACGTTAAGACGATCGTTATGAATCATATCATCCACCGATTAACCAGTAAAAATTAGTTTAACGTGGTAACGATGATGCGAGCAGTCATTTCGTTCCAAGTAATGATGCAACTGAGAACCAGTGATTATAGATAAGAGTGTACTTCAACACATATATGTATATATTCTAAACACATGTTTAATAGATGCAGGATACTGTTTATTTGCTTCTGTGCCCTGATATATCAGTAATTATGTAAGACACTTCAAGGTTTCTTGTAACGTAGTCAACTTTTAACCTTATCAGTTTGATTGTGATTACACTAACAAAAAATCTGCATAATTGTTTTCTTGCTTACGTTTTCCGAACAGGTGCAAAGTACAAAAACCGAGACGTACGCAGAAATCTACTTCGCACATTAGCATTGTCAATAATAATCTAGTTTGATTGTCTATTTTTCAGTAGATTTCGTTTTGATTCTTTTGTTTCGTTGTGAGTAGCAGTTCGGTTTGCTCCAGAAGAAATTTTTCTTTACTGCCAAAATAGCAGGTTTAAGTCTTCTATAATCATTTCTCTAATTGAACAAGACACTGCTCAGTGAGGAAGAAGAAATATACTTTGCATATTTTTAATAATAAATCAGATTGTTTGCTATTTTCCAATAGATTTCGTTCTTAGCGAACTTGTAGTGAGCAATTCGTTTTGTTTCAGAAGAAATCTTTCTCCACTGCCAAAGTAGCAGGCTTAAGTCCTCTACAATCATTTCTCCAATTGAACAAGACGCTGTTCAATGAGGAGCCTAACTCTCCGGCCAGCATTAATCAAAACGTTATACCTCAGACGCAAACGCATCATTTGGAGTTGCGCGCCAATGACATGCCCGAGCATGATAACATTAAGTGTGAACCAGAGGATGATACGTGCTCGAATAGTTCCGATCCGGACAGATTAGAGATCGAAGATCGGGACGAGCAGGATACAGAGGGTGAAGAGAACGGTTACGATATGACCATTAACAAACGGATGAAAATGGAAAATTATGAGGAATCAAAATCGAGTACCCCGAATCGCAGCCCGGTGAACAGAATGGACACGCCTGAAAGTAATTGTTCGGATACAAACATCGACCAAGAGACGACCAAGTTATGGCAGGCGCTAGCAAAGTGAGTTAAACATATTTTATACTCGGTTGTCGGTGTGGGAAAGTTCATTCCGATTTTTATAGAGAATTGAAAGGCAGCGCGTTTAAATTTTGATATACATTTATTGATTTCTTCAATTATATAAGTGCTATTTTGTTCGACACTCTTTCCATCTTTCATGCAGCTTGAAAACTTTATCTAAAGTAAATTTTAATGCAAAGTATGCAATTACGTTACTTGATTCTACGATTCTATTTACTTCCCAATCAAATAAAAAATTTCTCAAACGAATGAAAACAAAATTCGTTTAATGTACGTTTAGTTTTTAAAATACATTGCAGAGTGGTCTGGTTCTTATTTTATTCAGAACAATTACTCTTTGTAATGAGATTGTTTAAAATTTGAAACGTAGTTGCGAATTTTGCTTCATTTTGTAACACTTACTTTATTAAATATCGGCCTAATCCCACGATCTGAATAATAACTTTCTCTGAAGATACCTGAAATATCTCCTTTTAGAATATATACAAATATCAGTTGTTCTCAATCATTCCAGTTTACCAGATCTATCGTATTCATAATCCATCTATGTTAATAAGTAGACAGTGCATTTGTATGCAAAATAGAAGATTTAATGTAGTCAACTATGAAAATCCATTTCAGACTGCAATTTCTTTTATCGTTTTACATTTTGTATATTTATGTACATGACATGCAACGTTTATACTGCCAGCATATTCAATTATTTCATGAATGCCTAAAATCCGCAGTCTGGTTACAGTAGCCCTCATTAATATTCGGGCGGATTTCAAAACAGAATAACTTTTCTAATGTTAGACCAGACAACCTAATTTATTTTTGTTAGGAGACTTAGATTTTTAGACTAACGTAAGTGATTCTGGCTAACAGTAATTTTTTAACTTTCTTCCTACACATTGCCTAGAAAACAAAATCTTCTAACATCTAACATAAGAAGAAATTAAATCTGTTGGTCCAACATTAAAAATGTTATTCTATTTTAAAACGTGTCTAAATATTAATGACGAGAATTTTGAAAGGCACTGGGCGGTGGAATTGTAACCAAAAACATTCTGTTCATATATTTGGACTGTGCTCTTGCTCTCCAAGTAATAAATCACACGCATTATTCATATTTTCAGCACACTCAATTATTTCATAAATGCATGAAGTCCGCAGTCCATTTATGGGATTAAGCGTACGCCAACGCATTTTTGTTTACCTGAAGAAAATATGTTTACATAATTCCTAAGTGTAAACATATTCAGTTTATATTATCAATCATTTATTTCGGCTGTTCAAACATAATTCTGTGTGCTGAACACATATTTGCTTATTTACCGAAGTAACTACCGGTTGTAACAGATTATTCCTTTAAAGATAACAGCTCGCCCGACAGTAGATCAAACAATTTTATCATCTCAATGGATACGTTTCTTTTCTCTTACGTAGCAATAGGAGTTTAGAGATCACCAGGACGAATGGCGATAAACTGAACAACGGGTTTACTGGCGAGGCTACGAATCTACTCCGTTCTTTAATCAATAACAGACAAATCGGCATTACCGCTGTCGATTCGGACAGGGTATCACCGCAAATCAGGTTTTATAGGGACACTCAAGGGACGACGATCGAACGTACAGTACCTGACTGTTCTGTACTCGGCAATCGTACCAACGTCCCGTGTATGGAAAATAAGGTGCGTACCATTTGACATTGAAGGTCCATTGAACATATTTAAATATTAAGAGTTTTAATTATAAGAGAACTGGTCCGAATCCCTTTTTAAAGTTTCCCAATATACATTCACGAAATAAAGATTAGATAGTTTAGAGTACTTTTAATATAAATTTACGAAATAAAGATTAGATAGCAATTCAAATATAAAAACGAGAAAAAACATTTGGCCATTTTTCCGACTTTCTATCATTCGACCGGAATTCGGAGATTTATGGAAAAAGGGAAAATCTTTACTGTCCCTTATATTCGGTACTCTTTCGGGCCCGTGCAAATAAAAGTCGTGCCATGGGAAGTCCTTGCAGTTTGTTCAATGCAAATACCAGAAAAGAAGTGCAGGTATAGGAAAGAAGGACAGGTCGGGTGACCCTTGGGCGTCAAGGGATCCCTTTGGGGATCTATTCACGGTCCCATCTGCCTGCAGGTAAGGAAGCTGGTAGACCTTGTAGATAATAGATAACTGGGAAGCTCTTTGTGATACGCCGTAAACGCTAAGCCCACCATGTCAACCCGCTGTTAACAGATGTTCAGATAAGTCGGGTTTCTATAGATTTTGGAGCGCGCTTTGTTCCGCACGAGAAATTCTTCAATTTCTCCTATAATAAGAAACGGGATTTTCCTATCCTTTGTCCCACTTTTCCATTATATTGGCTTTTTGTCCTGATAACGAGTAACGGGAATTACCTTTACCCTCGGCTAAGTCCCTGCGTTCAAACAATTTTCCATAGGTACACTGTGTTTAAAAAAATTCACATTTACCTCGACAAATTTTACGACAATAATATTTTATGTGTTACGATGGTTAATAGAATGCGATCTTTGTTTAGGGAACTTCCGTGGACAGCAATCCGTCCAGTCCAGCCAGCGTCGGTCGGAAAGAGACGAAGGGTCGTAGAAAACAAAGTTATCCCAGTAAAGCTCCGATGAGTCCAGACGTTGTTAATTATCAGCACGAGTCGAGCGAGGAGCAAGCACAAGATTTTACGGCATGGTCGAATAAGATGAAGGGAAAGGTATAAGTGAAATTCGAATATATGTTACTTTAATAAACTGCGGGTTTTTATGCAAAATAGAGTATGGAATTAATTCGTGTACAAAAAGTCGGACTATTCGAATATTGGAATACGAATTTTAGTTTTTTTCTTGCGATTCTAGTGGATGGAAATTAGAAATAGATGGTCTACTGTCCAAGTAGTATTTGTGAGATTTTTTTTAGATCATTCGATCCGTTTTGTACAAAACTTTTTTCTATGTCACACCGTTTTTGAGATAGCAATTTAGAGATAACTTTTTTAATATTGTACGAAACAACATACTTTTCTATGCAATGCTAAAAGACTTAGTTTACTATGTAATGTGTAGAACAATTCGTTACAAATTTTTATTCATCGGAATCGCGAAGACGAAAGTAAATGCCGCGTTTTTTGACTTTGTTATTGGGTCTGTTATAAAAATTTGAAACGAATATTAATTTATATGTATATTTATACGTAACATTTGTTATTTTGTACATTATATTTATACGTAATTAAGGTTTATTAATGCCTAAATGTGTTTGTATCAACGAAAATGATCATCTGTATGTCTCACGCAGGTAGAGGACCAAAAACAACAATTCGATCAGCACAGTGGGAACATGGCGAAGAAGGTAGACATGTCCTGCACAAATTGCGGCACGATGACCACGACTATTTGGAGAAGAAACATGAAAGGGGAAATGGTCTGTAATGCTTGCGGGCTGTACTACAAACTTCACGGAGTGAATCGTCCGGTTACCATGCGGAGGGACACGATACACACGCGTAGACGTAGACCGAAAGGCGAAAAACCGACGAGGCACAGAAGTATGTAGTCACAAATCGTTTCCTGATACTTATACGGCGGATTTTATGCACTGAACATGCAGAAATGATAAATGTATAAAGTGATTCAGAATATCAAAAGCTGAATACATAATTTAATATTTAAATGATCAAACAAATATTTATCTCAACACGCATCTTTTAAACTGATACTATAAATAATTTATTTTGCTTAAAAATCCGGAGCCTTCTTATAACTAAATAATTCTAATTTAATGTCCTGTAATTCTATATTACTTCACTTCTTTTTCTTTTTTCATCTTATATCTCTCGTTCTTACGTTGCTTTTCATTTCTTTTTCGTTGTTTTCATACTTCGATAGCCACCTTTAGCCTTGACACTCTGTATACAAAAGGATCGAACAGCAGAGTACTTAGCTAATGTTTCGAAAACTATAATATATCAGTTTTGTCTCTCTATATGCTTTCTATTGAATACTACTTAATCTTAATCTCTCATTTCGATTTTCTCATCCGCTAGGAACACAATGTCTGCATACATGAATGTCCAAACTTTTTTCATTCCTCCTACTTGTTTTTTGCTCACATATACGTATTTTGATTGTATTATTTTCATTACTTTCTTCAGAAAAAGGTGACGCGATTATAGCACCGCAGCCGGAGCAGATGGATGCAGAAAGTGCGGACATGCTGGCAGCTCTTCGACGGCAAATCCAGCCCCACTTAATGATGGCAGCGTTAACGCCGCCTCGTATACCTGGTGCCCATGCACCAGCCCCTACCGCTCAACTTAATTACTCTCTTCCTTTACCTAGTTACATAATGCATGTAAGTATCGTAAAATCTCATAGATTTATATCTTTGGCATTAGCCCCAAGTTTTGATTTTCGAAAAAAGTTTAACACTTGTAGGTAGTTAGTACAAGTGGAGTACAAATATTTTGTTTAAATAAGTTCAGTTAATTTAACATATTTATTAATTTTGACCCCAGTAATAGAATTTGTTAAAAAAATATTTTGCTCGATCGTTGATACTTCATGAGGCAATAATATTAGCAACGTTAAAAAAATTCAGTTCGCCTGTTTATCAATATCTGGAAAAGTATCTTGCTCTCTTAACGCAATATTTCTAACAAAATTATTTAATTTTTTTACATTTCTGTTTCCAACATTTCCAATTTTCTACCATGTTAATAAAATGGCAAATATCGATACGAATCATTGAAAGCATAATAGTAATAATTTGAACGTACACTTTTCCATACTTCTTTCACTGCGTATTCCGGCTGAGTACTTGGATTGCTGCATTTGTTACAGCACATGTCTAGTACAAAGCGTAATTAATTCGAAAATCGAAACTTGCGGGATTGACTATAGAAACGTATTTCGTTCAATGATTAATAATTTATTTCAGCAGCATGTAAAAGCGGAAGGGCGAGAGCAATGTCACTTATCTGCAGAGGCAGAAGAAACCGACGAGGGAGACGTAGAGAACGTCTCGGACGTACCGTTGAACCTAGTCGCGACATCCTTGTCCGAAGAAGCGCACTGAAAACCGAGCAGCTTCAGGTTCATTCACTGCTGATAGGTACACGATAAATATTAAGAATCTCTAGACAGAGTAAGTCTGTCCGGTGATACACAGGGTGTAGAAGACGAGATTGTTCTCCTTTCTGCCACACTCAATTCTCGTCCATACGATCCTCTTTTTTGAGCTCTCTTTTTTCCCCTTATTATTCTCGAGAATTTAAAAGAAAAATGACGAACAAACAAACAAGAAAGAGGTGGTAGAATATTGGGGATGTGTACATATTATATCCCTTTAGCTACCAAGCCCGTGGTGCAGAGCGCACGAACGAACGATGATATTAAATACGCAGTATTAATTACTTATTCAAAATATGTACATATATATACACGAATACGAAGAATATTTTTATACAAAATTTTCTACGCTTGCAGCTATTAGAGAGCGAGACGGGCGATCGTTGTACATACACGCGCAAATTGTTCTTTCGGTGTCGCACGATATTTTAAAAAATGAAAATGTGGTGGTCGTTGTCTGTTTCCTTAATGACGTAAAAAAATCAGTCACCAATGATAAAAACGTTTTTAGAACGGTGCTAGCATACTGTTCGCGGAAAGGTGTAGAAAGTAAAGAAAATAGCTTATTGTTAGAATTCACTGAACGATTAGTGAACAAAAATTCAACCGTTTTGTTCCACGGGCTTTTAGCTGTCAGTGACGTTACAATCATGATGGTCTCGTTGTTTTGCGTAATATTTAAACTAAAACACGACCCAGCTGAACTTGAGCTAACGAACGAAATCTATTTTTTAATTGGCTTTAACGAGATGTGAAATGGAACAGAAAAACGGTTGCACGATGCGACAAATAGTTTGCTAAATCTGGTTTGCCAAATTAGATTCGAGCCAGTATAAAAAGGAACATAATCTAGTGGCCTTTCAGCGATTTATCTATTCTCTCTTCCCCTTTTTTTAGCAAACTTGTCTCGCGCAGGATACGATCTTAATTATCTAGACGACGTAGATATATTTTTACATAAGCACGAGACTGCCGATGTAAATCACGTTTTAAATACTCTTTCTACCGTTCACGTATTCTTTTTTCTCCCTCGAAATATCGTCTCGACGAAGCTTCTCACGACTGTCCCGTTGACGTTACAGTCATCAATTAATTTGTACTTAAAGCAGCAGCACACCACCATATAAAAGCTAAGAGACTCCGAAAGCAATAAGTAAAACGCGATGGTACGTAGGATAGATTGTCGTCAAACAATACTCGTTTCGCGTGCTCTCTCGACGACAATTCAATAATAATTCTTCAGGAAGTAATAATACTTAGATAAACATTCATTTATATGCCGGAACGTTAAAACATAACAAATTTTATTGCTCCACGATTACTGTAGGTGCTACCCCCCCACAAATTTCTTCCTTATCCGTTTCTCAAATAGATAAAATTTTAACCGTGACTGTGATTTCTTTTCGTTATTATTAGACCGCGGGTTTTATGCATTTTTAAAGTAATTGAATATACAGAAAATATAAATGTTACATGTGACGTATGACAGTATAGAAAATATCGAATGCTTACATGATAAAATAAATGTCTGTCCGAGACAATTATGATAAATAGTTTATTTTGCATAAAAGTCCGCAATCTAGTTATTATCGACTAACATCTCACCTTTTCCGCCAAGGGTTATCACTGATCTATTTTTTCAACAATGTACAGTCAACACGTTAATAAACAGGTATTAAGCAACTCTGAATACCACATAATAATACGATGGCCAGTGCATCTACTCATGTATCGTTATATCTAACATTGTATACCTAAACAACTTTGCCAAAAATAGATTTAGTCTATATAACATAGAGTATAGTTAAGGGCATACGATAAAAATTAACGTTTTATCTTTCTCTATTTCACGACAACCCAGCATTTACATACATATATGTATATTTCTCCTTCGTTTTTTCCCTTATCCCTCTTAGGATTTTCTTCAGTGATACCTCTTTACTTGGAGTGTTTTGAAATTCACTTACAGTGATTAGTGGAGCAACTTAGTTTTAGTCGTTATCGAAGGAGCCTTATCAGTACACGTAAATATATGTTACACACGCGCTACACGTACATACTACACATGGATTACACTATTCTATTATACGAGTACAAGCGACACCATGAATTAATGCTGTTCATTTTTTCAAAATATTTCATTTAACATCACAATTGTAAAAATCTGATGCATGTACAACGTTAATTTAAGGATCATATTTTAATATTCTCGTATATTTATTTTTCTTTTAATAATAAACGAACAGCATTGATGGAACGGTATCTCTATAGACGAGTATTGGAGGAACAAGAAAAAGCTACGATGAGGTTTCTCACGCTATCCGAATAATTGCCAAGCTTTTATCTCGTACGAAGAAAAATCCTTCCATTTTTAGTACGTATATTGCTTGTCGTTCACGAGCAGAGAGAGGTGACATATCTTTTAAATAAGTCTTCACGATTTACTTGATCAAATTCTGTAAATACTCTTTCGATTTCCCATTTATCTTTCAGGCATTGTTGAAATCCTTCCGTTCCCGGACGAGATACTTATTTAAAAGATACGTGATACGTTTTTTAAACTTAACATCTTAGTACGAAATGAAGTTGAAGAACGATTGATTAAGATACGTAGGGCCTGACTCCCTTTTTTTTGTCAAGCCGTAAGACCGCCAGTTTTTTTTTTATTTCTGTTGACAGAGCAATGTGTAGCATACCAATTTTTTTCTTTTTAATTGTACCATATGTGAAGAGAACGAACTTATTTATGTATTAAAACGCTGATAGCAAGAAGTGAAAGCAATGGACAGTTACTTCGTTAGGCACTTTCTTCTATCTGTTCAATTGTATTAATATTTGGCTCGCGGTAGCTTTGTTGAATAACGAAAAGGATGCATAACTATTATTACCCTTATATTTTTTTTATAATTACCAATTGTAGCCGCGTAAGTAGAATTACATTTTATAGGTTTGAGCTCTCTACTAATTCTGAAGCTAGAGGATATTTTTTATAATTATTAGAGGAATCGAGTATTGCTATATTATATATATATATATATAAATATTATTGATATCGATTTGATTAAACGTTAATATCTCTTTTTAAATAAGATTTAGTTGCAAGACCGCCGCCGAGACAATGGTTCATTTTTTTAACAAATGGTGAACGAACGGAAAAAAAAGCTGAGGCTTCTTATAGTTTTTTTTTATGTATCAGTATTCTACGCGTTTGTCTTTAGCTGTTAAGAGTTTTAACCAACACTACTTAATCCCAGACGGCGAGATTTGTCTTACTTAATTATTAAATTATTTAGTTATTTTCCCTCTCGGGATTTCCCTACCCTTTGACTCCCTTCTGCCCCGATTCCCTGTCCCAGCCACCCCCTTCCCCCTTCCTTGTTTTGTACGTCTATTTTTACATAAGCGACCATCCCCTGATTAATTATTTAAACTATAATTTATTGTATTCACCGTTTTTTGCACCGACGTTAAGACATTTTTTTTTTGGCAACGACTGGCTTAATTTATTGTACTTTATATGATTTTCGCTCTTTTTTCTTTCTCTTTTGTAAAGGACGATCAGAATAATTAGTTTGTAATGATCAGGCACTGCGCGTAATGATCATTCACCCCGAGAAATTCGGTTTTCTGCGGTACGAGATACGGACGGTCAATGCTTTAGGTGCCTTCACCTAGAGATTTCGTTGAATCAACGATAGAAATAAAACAAAAAAAAAAAAACAAAAATCGTGCCTGTACACATTATAATAACACTCCTACACTGATACGAATACGTGTACAAGCGCGTAGATCGATTATAAAAATGTAAGACTACTCTCAGCCCATCGCCTGTTCCCATAGCTAAACGTGCCTCCGAATCTGCAATGGCACTGCAAAGACATTAAATTGTAAACGTTTTAATATTGGGCTTTCGCGTGAACCAATGTAGCAATACTCTTTGCAACCATTGTACCTCGATCTCTGACCTTACTTAAAAGAAATTATAAATCCTGTAGACTGAAACGCGTTGAATTATTCTCAGGTGTAAAAGTCGAGCAATATAGAATGGGATCAGAGCGATGGATTGGGGAGCGGAGGAAATCACTCCCCGAGGTGCTGCTAATGACCATGTACAAAATTTTTTTTTCAAATTCTGACTTCGTTGCACCTCGGAGCTGAGCGAATGAACAACTGTATACGAGAGTGATGAGAAACGAAGCAGAGAATGCATATAATTGTGCATGACAGAGAGAGAAGGGGTTTTCGCGAAGCTATTAAAAGAGAAGAAAAAGGTGTTTGATGATAAATAATTAATGAATTATTTAGCAAAGCAGCACCGTTCCGTCCGTCTGCGCGACCGTGAACCTTCCGATTTCACCGAGATTCCTCGGTAGAGATCCTAAGTCACATACTTACACATTACTTACAAGCAAATTACATCGTATTATTATACTTAATGCATAAGCGAGACGTGTGTACCACGCGATGAATATAAATAGAAATAGACACAGAAGAAACAGGAAAAAAACGGTAACCGATGATGTATGTAAGAAACATGCGGTAAAATGCGTAAACGCTAAGACCCCTTCCCCGGTTCTTACACTGAGTATTAAATCTGTACTAATCGACTGAGTATTATTTTTATATCGAGCGTAATAATATTAATAAATGGATATAAATTAAAAGAAACGAAGAGGACGATGGGTTAATCGTACGTGAAACTGAGAGAGGAAATTGTTGTAAACGCGATGGGTGAGAGTCTTCTCATTTTACGATTCAAGAAACGGGATCTGAAGAACAGGAAAATAGGAAAAGTATAAATTGTGTGCGCCCTAACTGCAATATTTTGTATACTGAGCGAGAATGGAAAAACGGGCAGCAGTGAGATAATAATTAATTGATTGTAAAAACGATTAAGCTTTAATTTCTTGTTTTGTAATGCCAGCAATGTATTCTCGTCGAGACTCTGACCGATGGAAATACTACCTGCTGACTACTTTTGTGAGCTGGACGTGAATATTTTTGAATTTGCGAATCATTCTTGTAATAAAAAAATTAATCTGAAACATGACGAACGATAGACGAACACTCCTTGTCTCGACCAGAGTGTACTGCTAGCATTATATTTTATAATCATAATTGCAAACCGAGCGAGAATGGAAAAACAATTACGAACCAGCAATGAAATAATAATTAATGCGGTTGATTGTAAAGAACTTAATTTCTTGTTTCGTATGAGCGTTGCATAGCTTTGATCGGCTAACTTAAAAACAGCAAGGAAATTTGTATATTTAAATGGTGATGCGCGTTTGTTTAGTAATAGAGCAAGAAGAAATGATAACAAGAGGAAAGCATAATGATGAATTACTTTTGTATTGTCACCGATATCTCTATGATAATAAGTTAGTTCGGGCTAAGGCCAGCAGCTGTTGAGATTATTCAAGGTTGTGTGTATCATTATAAGTATTTTGAATTGTTGAATAGTAAATAGTGTAAGCGGTGGCTTGAACGGGGCGACGTCCCGCAATCTTGCATGGGATAAACCCTAAAGAGACGTCGCGTCGTCCAAGCGTTCGGTCTCTTTCGCTCTCTCTCTCTCTCTCTCTCTCTCTCTCTCTCTCTCTCTCTCTCTCTCTCTCTCTCTCTCTCTCTCTCTCTCTCTCTCTCTCTCTCTCTCTCTCTCTCTCTCTCTCTCTCTCTCTCTCTCTCTCTCTCTCTCTCAGAGTTTCGCAGGATTTATTTTGTCTCAATCGACTCGGTATTAAAACGTTTGTCCCGTACGATCGATCCGCTTACTCGACACTTCGCCTGTGTTTTTATATTATATATGCATATATTCATGAAGGTACATGTATATATGTATATATTTTTTTTAATATCGTGCTTGTGCAACGAGCCAACTCGCACGCGGAATCGTTGGGACTCCGTTTATTTTAATTTATGATTGCTAATTATTATCATTCGCGCAGAGTCTTTTTAATCGATTCGTTTCGCCTGTGTTCTCAGACAGATTTTATTTAATTCCTTTCGTGTATACACATTGTATTACCGTCTGATCCCAGATAATCTCACTTTCGAATCTCCTTTTGTATCTTATAACGATAAGAACCCTGTTAGACATTTTTAAGCTATTTATTAGGCTGCTATGTGATTTGTTAATGAAATTTTTTGAATCGTACATTACTTTTTCATTAATTCGGAGACCAACGCTTCGTATTATTTACGTGCTCGTTGATGAACGGAGGAAACTGGAAGAAGAAAGAATATAGAGCGAGAATCGCGGTCACTCGACGTCTCTTATTTTTCTGCCTACCGCCTAGATAAGTCAAAGAGTATTTGTGCGATCTGTGTTTGCTGTCAGCACGTTTGTAGTTTCATTTCTTGTCCAAATATAAAAGAATAGACCGAGTGTGCCCAATGTATTTTTGTTAACCGGGTAAAAGATAGAGGAAACATGCTTTGGAGGAGTTTCCGTCTATCTCTTATTTCGTTTTTCTCAATCGCCTGGTCTATTCTTATATTTTTATGATCATCTCGCGCCGTGAAAAAAATCGGCGATTTCTTTTTGGACAAAATATTGTGGCAAACGTGTCGACAGGCACGGACGATCGGCGGGGACGGCAAAGGACCAAAATGTACAACAATTGCGTTTGCCCTTTTCTTACAGTTGGTAGGACGATACGTTTTTTTCTAAACGGTATCGAAGCTGTGTAATTGAATCAAGAAGTGGACTTTTAAATGCGATTATATTGATGAGATATTATTTTGGGGGGCATTGTTGTGATACCACAGATGCAGCTTCATTGAAACTTAAAATAAAAAATGCGTTAACGATTCTGTTGCGATTAATGTTTATCTACCAATTTATTATGAACCGCGTGTGCCGATATTGTATGAAGAATTTAATTTTTTACATAAAACTCTGTTCGGGAATCAAATTTCGTTTTACTGCTGTTATTCGTCATTTTCATGATATGAGGTAAATGTCACAATTTCTGGCCACGTCACGATTCTACTCTTTTTCTATTTCTTCTTTTTCTCTTCCCACTTACTTTTCTATAATTTTCTAAAATTATAGTTAAAATTATTAATAATATATGAATTATTTCGCGGTCTCACTGTAATATTCTTCTATAATTTTATAATAAGATAAAATTATAGAAATATATTACCGTGAGCCTGCGTGACAATTTCTACTATTATAATACTATAATATAATACTATTTTTTTATAACTTTGAAACGACATGTAGAATTATAGAAATAAGTAATCAAAGTAGTGCACTGACAGCATAGAGTACATTATAATCATTGATTTCTAACTATAATCGCAATGAACTAGTGTTCGATCGAAAACTGAACTTTTCAGAATTTTAAAAAAGTATACAAAACTACAAAAATAGGACAGTAAGTAGAAATTGTGATGAGGACAGAAATTGGGACATTTTCCCTATGCCCACAAAAGTATTTGGATGTTAATATTTTTAGAGTAAAAATTGACACAATAGAAGATAATAGACAATTCTAAAAGTTTTTAGTAGTTGAAGTAGCTGTATTGGCCAAAAACGAAAATTTGGAAGAAATTGAAGAGGTACCCCTTGGAAAATCTCGGAAAGATAAAAAATTTTTTGTTGTTGTTTATTATTAGCAATGCACTTCCAAAGTCTGATTTCTTTTTAAAAAATGCGTTTCTAAAGTGCATAAACTTTTGGGATTGACTGTATAGCCAATACATCCTTAACAGCTACTTCAACTACTAAAAACTTTTAGAATTGTCTATTATCTTCTATTGTGTCAATTTTTACTCTAAAAATATTAACATCCAAATACTTTTGTGGGCATAGGGAAAATGTCCCAATTTCTGTCCTCATCACAATTTCTACTTACTGTCCTATTTTTGTAGTTTTGTATACTTTTTTAAAATTCTGAAAAGTTCAGTTTTCGATCGAACACTAGTTCATTGCGATTATAGTTAGAAATCAATGATTATAATGTACTCTATGCTGTCAGTGCACTACTTTGATTACTTATTTCTATAATTCTACATGTCGTTTCAAAGTTATAAAAAAATAGTATTATATTATAGTATTATAATAGTAGAAATTGTCACGCAGGCTCACGGTAATATATTTCTATAATTTTATCTTATTATAAAATTATAGAAGAATATTACAGTGAGACCGCGAAAT